AATCTACACAGTAATTACTGATTAGTTCACAATAATATTGGATCTCCTCTGACAAAACTTTAAAGTTCTTTTAGGGTCCTGGAAAAATAAAATCCAAAATAAGTAATTTTTAAGTGACCAATACACTCAATGTCTGACACAAAGTGCTAATTATATGGCCAAGGCTTGAAGTTCAACCTGTGAGTTTCACTAAGTTCCACAGTGAGTTTCTACCACTAATCCTCGTCAGCTGCCTCCGAAGACATGCCAAGAGTCACAAGGAAGTGGGTAAGAATGTGTGATTGGATACAAATCCATCACCACTACTGGAAAACAACCCAAAAGCATATTTCCTACCAACATATTACCTCTAAGTGACCTTGAGGCTGAAACTAAAGGTCAGACCTTACAACAAAATGTGTCTCAGAAATCTCAAAAACTTTTCTCCCTTTTCAGATTATAAGTACCGTCAAAATTCATGGAAACAAAAATCCAGGATTTGCTGTTTTCAGATGATGGTAATTTTAAAGGAAGACATGTAACTTAAAAATGTAATTAGTTGAAGGCTATTTTTTGAGTATATTCTGGGTGCCACCCTTTGATTTTTATCTAAGCTAAATGTAAATATGTGCATATAAATATGTAAATATAAATGCTAGTGAATTTACAGACTAGAAATCAACTTATACACCAAAATAATCTGAGACGAACAAGTGGTGCCCAGCATGAGGGTATATAAAGGATGAAAGAAATAGGCATTAAATAAAATGACTGACAAGATAAGTTAGACAGAAAGAAACCAAAATGATAAAGAGTAGCAGATGGAAAAGCAGGTAGGCTACAGGAACACAATGTTGTGAAGATATATAGGACTGGGCACAAGAAAAGATAATGTAGTCAATTAAATCAGCTCAGTGTGTCAAGAGACTTCATTTAAGAATAACTTTAGCTTGAACCTGAAATTGTGTCTTTACAGGCCAAATTCAACATAAGAAAACCCTTTTTAATCCTTTGAGTGGACACAACATATAAAATAGCAATGAACATTCAACCATTCTTTATTTAAACGTTCACTGGGCACCTATTTGGCATCACATGTGTCAGCATTTGATTATGCATAGTAAAAAATAATCAAAGAAACCCACTCAAGCAGTACATTTTATAACAGCGTACAAACTGAAAAAAATGGAAAACCAGACTAAGAAAGCAGAATACTACCAGGATAGTGTCAAATCCTGCTGCATAACTTATACAATTCTAAGGCACAGGCCTACCCTAGCTATCATACTAGCCCACAGTACTGTTTTAACTCTATCCTGTATAAGTCATACTTATGTCAAGAATCAGAGAAAGAGCAGCAAGAATTAAATTATGGAATACAGCCAGGTTGTCAGTGTGCTGAAGTGAATTTGCTCCCAGCTCTCTATCAGCTGGACGCATTGAAGAATGGACAACAGCAGAATATACAAGAGCTACTGAACAGCCTACTGAAGTTGAGCAACTCCAAGCAAGACTCACCAAAGAACATTACTTTTTTTAAGGATGCAAGACGACATGACCATAGCTGATTAGGAAACTGCCATCCGGATATCATATGAAAAATAAAATCACTCTTTTCTGGCCAAAAAGTATCAAGTCAATGATGATCTAGAAGGCAATGCCTAGAGCTGCAATAGCAACTCTGAGATGACTAAAGATAAAGACAGACAGATAGGTAGATATAGATATCAAGATTCAACATGCATTTAGTGTGAACTACAGATCCCACAAAAGCCAGTCACCCCACTGCAATGGTGTGTCATTTTCACAAAAACAATGGGCAACCAGAAAGACTAGTGTATTATTTTTCAGATTTATATTACCCCGATATCCCAGAAAAGCATTAAAAAACTTACAAATTAACACATTTGAATATAACATGATACTTAAACTGAATTCATCTAATAGTAGAAGTACTTGAAGAAATTAGAGAGGGGTGTATTACCAACTTCAGTTACAAATCTGACTGAAATCTTTTTGCTAAATTGAAGAGAAAGATGCAGTTACATAGTTTCCATTTTCAAACAAATGGGAAGCATACATTTTTGACATAAACAGTTTTTCTTGGAGCCAAACTCAGCAGAAATCTGTGTCAGTCTGTCTAGTCTGGAAAAGACATAGGAAACACATTGAACATATAAACTATTATTGTATGGGAGGTATCAAAAAAATTCACATGGCAATTCCCTAATTGAAAATATGAAATTAAAAATGTCCTAACTGTAAAAAACAGAAGGCATAAAAATAAACTACACTTTAAGGGCAACGTTTCTGCAAAAGGCTGAGATAATACAGTCCAAACATTGATGGTTTGCTTTACCATAAGCTATCAAAGTAAAAATTTAAGCTACTGGATAGCCACTTAGCATAGCTATTCTAATCATGGTTGTCTACCTTGCCTCTGTATTAGACTCACCTACAATTGATTGTTAGCCTAGATTAAGTTTAAATTTAAGCTTTCTAACAAGTGTCTCCAATGCAGCTATTCTACACTGATCAAACAAGTGTAATGATTCATAAAATAAAAGATATGAAAAAATTTAGCAGGGTGAATTCTACCTAGCACACACTCAATAAATGTTAGTTTTTTCAACTTTCCAGAGGAGAGGAATGAAAGCTGGCATTCTCCTATGGAAAGTAGATCATACTTATATTTTTTCCAGAGAGGATGAGGATAACATATTCCAGTCAAAACTCTTTCAAGGAGTTACTTTTCTCATATTCATCTGTCAGTAACAATTCTTTAATTAAGGGGCGCCTAGGCGGCACAGTCGGTTAAGTGTCCGACTTCGGCTCAGGTCATGATCTCACAGTTTGTGAGTTCGAGCCCCGCATCAGGCTCTGTGCTAGAAGCTCAAAGCTCAGAGCCTGGAGCCTGCTTCAGATTCTGTGTCTCCCTCTCTGTCTGCTCCTCCCCTGCTCACACTCTGTCTCTCTCTCTCTCAAAAATAAATGAACATTAAAAAAATTAAATTAAATTAAATTTTTTTTTTTAAATTAAAAAAAACAATTCTTTAATTAAAACTTAAAATGTATGTATAAACGTTAAAGTTACTGGGCTTTCTTTTGGGGGGGCAATAAATGTGCTTAAGTGGCATAATTAGGTACGTTAATTTGTAATAATAACAGACCTTTACTTAGTATAATTTCAAAAATCCGTTAACAAAGAGTATTTGTAAAGGGAATTAGTAGTTGATAAGAATGCATCTTAATAATCATTGTCATTAAGATAAAGAATGATAGAATTTTAGAACACCCAGAGACCTTATAGTTTTTCTAGACCAGCTTTTTTTATTTTGAAAGATGAGAAAATGTAGACTAGAAAGATTATGATACAAGCCAAAGAGCTAGCTGGGCCAGGGACTTTTAAGAGTTCCTAACTTCCAGTATATTGTTCATTCTAACAGACTATGCTGCCTCCTGTGGTTCTAAATCCTCTTACTTGGGTGAGATTACTGGTTGCCTCATTTGTTTTCTTTACATTCTATTCTGAACCATAGCTGTCATTTATAACTTTCCTATAAAATATAATTTTCCAACCTGTTTTCTCTTTAATTTTAAATCCTCAGCTTTCTAAATTTCAGAATAATAAACATAAAATTTTAAAAATACTTGAAACAAATGTACAATATATGTAATTGAATGCAAAGAAAAATTCTTCTCTCCTGGAAAATTATTAAATCTACAAATTCAAAAAAAATTTTGTTGAGCACCTCTGACACACAGCATCTCTGTTAAATGCTGGAGATAAGAAAATGAGTAAGGTCCTTGTCCTCCAGTAGCTTATAGCCTAATAAAAAAGACAATTAAACAAGCAATTACATTGTGTTTGTTAAGAACTCTGGAAAAGGTGTGGGTAGGCTGCTATGAATGCTGTCGGAAGAGAACCTTAATTTATAATGATGATATCAGCTAATCATTTCCCAATGAGATCTGAACAGTAATAGGAAAACACAGCAGTATCACCCGTATTTAATGAAACCCCAAAACGAATTAAAAGAGAGAAACTTCAGTTTACTCAGAAGATAATGAAAATTATGTTTTCACATAGCAGATCAGTATCTAATAACTCTCTAATAACAATTAGACTATTTTTCGATGGAAAAGAACCTTATTTTGTTATGGATATATAATATACACAGGTCTTCTATTATTTCTTCCCGAAATTTTAAATCACTGTTTTAAAACCAAAGGAAAAAAATTCATCGAAAACATGTCTAGTTAATATTCGCAACAGCTGTCTGCAAAACTGCATACTAAAGTCCTCCTCAAAATTCCAGGGAGAAAAAAAATCCCATCTGGTACAAGAGAAATAACCAGGAGAACCGGTAGTCCAAGAAAGAAAACTACCACTCATTAGTCACTCGGGGTTAAGGACTAGTCAGATTCCTAGATAATGACTTTCAGCTGGAAGATTTAGAAAAGAGACGTACAGTGGGCATTTTTATTTACATTTTTAAAACGAAAAGGGTGGCGGGTGGTCAGAGTATAGGGAAAATCATGAAAGCGATAAGGAAGTGAAGTGATGGAAAAAAAGAGGAGAGGGTGGGCAAGAATCCAAAAATCAAAGACATACGGACAGACGGAAGAAAGACTGGAGGATGGTTTTGAACATAGTAAAGAAAGACAGGCAGAGAGGAAATGAGGGGTGGTGGCTGGGGGAAGGGCTGTCCAAAAAAAATAATTCGAGATGGAATGAGAAACAAGAGAAACTAATGAACTGGGGCTGCCTCAACCAGGGATGAAACGAGATCGTTGCACGAAAGGGAGAATCACCGATAAGGCGGCAGTGAGTTTTAACCTCCCTTTTCCCAGCCTCTAAACCCCAAAGAGGGAGGAAGAAGTGGCTCCCAAGTCCCAGGGAAGGAATTTCGGCGCAGCCTTCGGAAGCACAGTCCGAGAGATGGGGCACCATCCAGCGGGTCCCCGGCCCCTCTCCATCCCTCTCGGACGCTGGGCGGGGCCGTGGGCATCCTGGTTACCTGGACAGGGAGTCCACGCTGGGCGGCCGTGCTGCGGCCGGCTGGGAGCCAAGACTCTCGCAGCTCGAGCTCTTCTCCATGGCGCGGCGGGGGCAGCGGGAGGGAAAGGCTGAAGCGACCTCCGCCGCTGCGGGGCGGGAGGAGCGGAGGGCGGAGTGCGCCGGGCAGGGGCCGCGGTCAGGCCAGCGCCGGCCCGGGAGGGAGACCGGAAGCGGCCATGTTCCCCCAGACTGCACCGCGCCCGGGGGCCGCCGAGGAGCCGGAGGACCCCGCGGCGCCCCTCTGACTGCAGCCCCGACGCGCTGCGCTCGCTGCGTGCGCTCGCTGCGTGCCCCGCGCGGCCTCTAGACCCTGGGAAAGGAGGTGGCCGTACGGGGGGGTGAGAGGGTCCCCTGAGGCCGGAGGGACGAGGACCCCGTGGGAGGAGGGGGAATTTTAGAAATGAGAGAGAGGAATAAGGGAATACTAGGGATGAACGTCTCCGGGGAAGAAAGGGACAGGGCTGATGGGCATGGGGATGACTGAGGCCGGCACGGTGCTGGTCAAGGATAGTGAGAAGACGGAGTAATAAAGGAATGCCGGCCAACGGTAGGATGAAGGGGCAGAAAGGACGTGGGGGATCACGAAGAGAAAGAACATACGGGAACGTAAAGGATGAGGAAACTCGAAATGGCAAAAGTGTTCACCAGATTTGGGGCTGAAAATACTAATTAATTGTTATTAAATAGCGATTAAAGGCTGGTTTAGTGAGTCAGACATGAATTCAAGTCCTGCCTCTGCCAGTTACATGCAGTGTGACCCAAGGCATTGAACATCGGCTTCCTTAGCTGTAAAATAGGAAGACTAATGACTTCACAGATTAGATGAGTTAATGCAGGTAAAATGCTTAAAACAATTTTTGGCACATAGTAAGCACTCAAATATTAGATGTTAGTATTACTGCCTACTTCGTAAAGGTTGTTAGGATGCGTGTAATGTTTTAATGCATAGAAACAGTTTCTAAGACAACTGCAAGAAACGGACAGGAACATACAGGAAGGGTGGCAGAGAAGAAGTGATTGGTATGGGAGAGGTAGTGGAGAAAGTACAGGACAGGTAGGGAGAAATTAATCCTCCTCATTCTATCTCCATTTCCCCCACCGACCCAACATTGTAGAAGAGGCACTAGAAAAGCAGAAATTTTAAGTCCTGCTATAATTTGGGTTAAAGTCTGTGTGGTCTGGAAGTGTGCAGGGGAGAAGCGCTTTGGCGTTAGTCCATGGCACACACAAGGGGGTATGGAAGAGGAAAATGGGAACCAAGAAATGCACGAAAAGAATTAGACACATTTATATACTATTGTATGTGGTTGTGTTGGATAGGGGACAAACTAACAATCTTTCCCTGCCCTCACAAGTTCCCTTGTAGGGCAGGAAGGGAGGGGAGAGAGAGAGAATTGTGATGAGAGAATAGGAACTGGGTGAAGGGGAAATGTTCTGCTGTAATTTTCTGTTACGGAAGACACAGGAAGGACAAAAACAGGAAAGCAGAAAGGAATTTTTCTGATTGAGACTGAATCCCAGTTACCTCATGTGTGAAATATAAAATGATGCAAAGACTATTTCTGTAAAATAACAGTGAATAATTTAAAAAGAAAAGTCCTTGCTAGGATGAAGAGAATTCTGTTCACTGAAACTGATTTGCTTGTTTGTTTTTTTAATGTTTGTTTACTTGTGAGACACCATGATCCAGGAAGGAGGGGCAGAGAGAGAGGGGACAGAAGATCTGAAGCAGGGTCTGCGATAACAACAGAGAGCCCCATTCAAGGCTCAGACTCACGAACCCGGAGATCAAGGCCTTAGCCGAAGCTGGATGCTCAACCAACTGAGACACCCAGGTGCCCCAAACTAGGTTTAATTCATAGTGACAACTGATGTTTTTTAAGAAAATCTTAAAGTATAGCCCCAGTGGAATATTAACATGCAAGTACACTCCCCCAAAGAACAACCTAACCTTGTGTTCAGCATACTTACTAAAATAAAATGGGTTTAAGCACAAACGACTTTGCCTTTCTCTTCCATTCTCTAGCTTGGCAAGGATAGGACGGCAGCTGATAGTTTATATAGTTTTTAAAGAGGTCTTCAACTGTACTCCTTTAATAGTCAAAGAGAATAAGCAGTCACAAACACTTAACAAGCATAAACATCTACAGTGTTTCATAAAAGAATTTACTTACTGATTCCCTGTCTCTACCTGCCTTCCAAAATGCTGACTCATTGTCACATGATACTTGGAGGTAGGTTTTCTAATCTAAATTTGGTGAATGCCGATGAATCCTTGAATGGGAGACCCACGCACTCTCTATTACCCAGTTTGTTTCTATCACTGTATTAATAGAGCAGTTGAAACCATCTGCCTGATGATGTCATAATTTGTATATGAGTCTATCTGGTGATTAATAAAGAACAATAACGTTAGCGTAGAGACTTTGTAACCAGACAAATCTGAATTGGAATCGTGATTCTGGCACCTACTTGCTCTATGATACTGATTAGGTTGCTTCTCCAATACTGTTTGCTCATCTCTAAAATGGGAATACAAAACTCCACATAATCACTCGTTTTTACCTACATAGAGTTGGTTGCACAGTAGCATCTCAGTAAATGGATCTTGCTATTATCATCTGTGCTTCCTCTGAATTTAACTGCTTCTAAATATTAAAGCAGTAATTTCTGAGAGTGAACAACAAGCAAAAAATACTTGAATCTCAGCTGAAAGTTAAATTAGTGCTTAATTCTTTTTCTGACATGTTGGCTGCTATGTCATATAGCCAAGAGAAGTCGCCTTGATTAGGACTTTCTGCACCTCGGTTTCCTTATCTTTTAAAAGAACATGTTAGCCTATCCCAGGTCTTCGGGAACTACTGCTACAATTAAACTATAGTGTAGGTTCATCTTGTAGCTGGGGCACAAGGGCGCAAGAGCACCTGGCTCCAGGGGTCCCAAACACCAAGTTCAGCCACTCCCTGTGGACAAAATCCAAAGGCAGAGAGATGACTGGTGGTGAAACAAGAAAGGAATTTATTTCAGTGAGGCCAACACTGGGGAGACAGCAGGATATCCTCTTGAGTATCTCCAAAATGCTGAAAATACTTGCAGGTTTATATAAGGAAAGTGTGAGACAAAGGGTGGGTACGTGCAGGTGGGCAGTAAAGGTTAAATCATTATCTTTGAGTCAATCATGGGCAGAGTCTCGCTGGTTCAAAGCAGTCCTTACTGCCTGAGAGAGTAGTTTTGGTTCTCATCAGGGAATGCTTTGCCCATGGGGTCGTTTGCCTGAGTAAGAAACAAGCTGGAGGTGGGGGTGGGGCAGGGGCACACCAAGGTAGCTCCTGGGTGGCTCAGTTGGTTAAGCATCTGACTCTTGATTTCGGCTCAGGGCTGATCTCACAGTTGGTGACTTGTGCTGACAATGTGAGGCCTGCTTGGGATTGTCTTTCTCTCTCTGCCCGTCTCCCACTCTTGCTCATTCTCTCTCTCAAAATAAATACATAAACATTTTTTTTTAACGAAGAAGAAATATGCTAGAAAGAACTTGACAAGTTAAAAAGTATAAACTGAAGTGAAAATGGAGGTAGTTGAAGTCCTCTTTCAATCTCTCCTATTAAATGGTTAACTTGAGATCTTCCCGAAAGTAATTTTCTTATTTGAAATCTAGGCCAGAGTTTCTCAAGTTCTCTCTGAGAAGAACCAATGTTTTGTTTTTAATTTCCAAGCCATCATCAACTAATGCTCTTTTTAAAATATAAGAAAATTAATTACTGGATAAATGAAACTTGAGCAAAAGCTGAAGGCACGCAAAATACAAGGCCAAATTATTTTTCTTATATTTAACAGATACGAAATTACTTCATAAAAGTTGCATGAATGTTTCTAAACAGGTATTCTCAATTCTACTCTCATCTCATGGACAGTCAATAAATAGTTCATGTATATGAGTAGCCCTGATTTGGATCTATAGGCTTGTTGCCTGTCAGCTTATCAAAGGCTGCTTATTAGACAATCAGAATCAGAATAAGGAAATAAACCTCTTGAGATAGTAAAATGGTGGGTTAGGAATGGACAAGTAGAGGGATTCTTCTCTTAAAACACACATGCCAAAAAAAAAAAAGCATAATCCTGAGATCAAGCATGCATAATTCTTATAATTATTTATATTTAATCTTTTTATTCCTTTGGTTTAGAGAGTTCCACTTCTAGTACGGAGAAGTAAGCTTCTAACAGATTGACCTTTCCACAGATAACAGCTGGAAACTCCAGACAATAAAACAACACCCTGAGGAGTAAAGAGACTGGATAGAAGTACACAGAAGCAAAATGCATAGGAAGTGACCAGTACAGAGTGCTTTTCCATTTTGAGTGGCTTTGACCTATGGACAAACCAGAATTGTGGTGTGGTACAAGGTGGCAAAAATTCACATAGAAAGCCTGCTATCTTGGGATGTCTGTGTGGCTCAGTCGGTTGAACACTGACTTTAGCTCAGGTCATGATCTCGAGGTTCATGAGTTCCAGCCCTGCACTGGGCTCTCTGCTGACAGCTTGGAGCCTGGAGCCTGCTTCAGATTCTGTGTTTCCCTCCCTCTCTGCCCCTCTCCTGCTTGTGCTGTTTCTCTCTCTCAAAGATAAATAAACATTAAAAAAATATTAGAAAGAAAGAAGAAAGAGAAGAAAGAAAGAAAGAAAGAAAGAAAGAAAGAAAGAAAGAAAGAAAGAAAGAAAGAGGAAGGGAGAAAGGAAGGAAGAAAGAAAGAGAAAACAAGAAAGCCTGCTATCTTTCTGGCCTGAGGAACCAAGAGAAGGGAGCCCAGGGCAGCTAGAGAATGAGGGAGGAAATCCAAAAAACAGAACCAGAGAACTTTAAACTCTGTTTATAAACTGAGACAATCCTTGGCTAAGCCCTAATTCATTTTGAATAACAAAGGCAGAATGCAAAGAGCTACTATAAACTAACTTAAAATAGAATATCCTTCTACCAGATAAAAGAACTGAAGCAAGATTTGAGCTGTTACCCACTATACACAAGTCAAAATTTTCAATTTTA